AGGTGCGAGGTCGACAAAGCGCGCGCGCCCTGCTGGAGATTAACAATGCGGACGACGGGCCGGCTCTAGGCTGACTGCAGCGGTCGGCGGCGGGGCTTTCACTGCGGCACGCCGGCCGTCACCTCGCGACACCGCGGCCGCACGCTGCATCGCAGAACAAGTGCCTCCTGGCGGTTACGTTTGCAACGGGCGATCATGGAAATCATGGCAATCGAGTGGCAGGGTTAAAACCCTTCACATTCTCACCTCTCCTCGGGCCATACGGTGTGCGTCCTGTAACGGCGAGTCACATAGACGCAGTCTTTACGCCCGCCCGCTCCAGGCGGTTAGAGTAACACGGACAGCAGTGGCAGCAGCGGCAGCAGCAGCCGCACAGCTCCACCCGGAGCCCGCGCAGAGGGGGGGCTGGGGGGGGGGGCAGGGCAGGAAACGGAACGGCTCAAGTCACACCAAAGAAGGCAGTGACCCGTCTCGGCGGTGCCTGCGCCTGCCTCGGGCTGGCTGCACGGCTGTTGCCGACGCCGCCAGCCGCCACTGCTGCTGGTGAGGATGGCGGTGACAACCTCGTCCCCAACCTGGAAAAGCGCAGGAGAAGCCTGCTAGCTTCGTGCTCGAACTGCACTGCCTCCTCAGCCTCCCTTCTCTGGTCGACGGCCAGACTCTGTCCAGGATCATGAGCATCACAACCTGCAACACCTGGTTGCTCCGGGTCGTCTAGACGTTAGCGCTAGCGTTAGCGTCAACACCGTCAACCTAAGCTGGGCCGTGAGCCAGGACCAGACCAGGACCTTACCCACTGCTGCTCAGTCAAAACTAACGGCCGCTGATAGCATCAGGGAAGGGGAGAGAGAGAGGAAGGGAGAGTGACAGAGACAGAGAGGGGAGGGAGAAAGAGACCACAGCCAGGGCGGGAATCCGAATTAATGGAGGGTCGTGAGCACATTGATCTTTTTGTTTGAGGAAATAAAAAGAGTCACCGTGAGAGACGAGGACAACGGGATTGTCGGGAATGAAGCACGGCCACTCTTCGAAACTACCCGTGAGTGCGTATTCAATCAACACGGACGAGGTATTTGAAAACCATGTTCGGGACTGGGAGTATCAAACCAAAAACCCAGCCTGAGATGAAACTTGAGAACGGTCTGAGAATTGGACGAATGTTTCGTAGTTACAGCTCTGACATTTTTTTCGTGTGTGTTTTTTCGATTGCTGCACTGTTGCACACACTTGCCGGTCTGGACTTGGGCGATGATCGGGGCTGCAGATATGGGGTGCGAGTGAGTCCGCAGCCAGTGGTGCAGTTGGCGGCCACCCCGGCGCGGGCCGAGCCTCGGCCGCGTACTGTGGGCGGCTGGGCGGCCGGGCCCATCAGGAGCACCACCAGACCGACGCGGGAATGCC